AATGCAATGATGTGGAAGTTTCAAATTTCAATATTTTATTCAGAATACAACATAGATGACACATCAAATGTTCAAACTGAGAAAATGCATCACTTTAAGGGGAAAAATAAGGTGATTTTAAATTTCATGGCAACACATCTCAAAAAAGTTGGGACAAGGCCATGTTCACCACTGTGTTGGATCCTCTCTTCTTTTTATCACAGTCTGCAAACGTCTGGGGACTGAGGAGACAAGTTGCTCAAGTTTAGGAATAGGAATGTTGTCCCATTCTTGTCTAATACAGGCTTCCAGTTGCTCAACTGTCTTAGGTCTTCTTTGTCGCATCTTCCTCTTTATGATGCGCCAAATGTTTTCTATGGGTGACAGATCTGGACTGCAGGCTGGCCATTTCAGTACCCGGATCCTTCTTCTACGCAGCCATGATGTTGTAATTGATGCAGTATGTGGTCTGGCATTGTCCTGTTGGAAGATGCAAGGTCTTCCCTGAAAGAGACGACGTCTGGATGCAAAAAGAACTTCAAATCTCAATTCGTCTGACCACAGAACAGTTTTCCACTTTGCCACAGTCCATTTTAAATGAGCCTTGGCCCAGAGAAAACGCCTGCGCTTCTGGATCATGTTTAGATATGGCTTCTTTTTCGACCTATAGAGTTTTAGCTGGCAACGGCGAATGGCACGGCGGATTGTGTTCACCGACAATGTTTTCTGGAAGTATTCCTGAGCCCATGTTGTGATTTCCATTACAGTAGCATTCCTGTATGTGATGCAGTGCCGTCTGAGGGCCCGAAGATCACGGGCATCCAGTATGGTTTTCCGGCCTTGACCCTTACGCACGGAGATTGTTCCAGATTCTCTGAATCTTTGGATGATATTATGCACTGTAGATGATGATAACTTCACACTCTTTGCAATTCTTTTCTGAGAAACTCCTTTCTGATATTGCTCCACTATTTTTCGCTGCAGCATTGGGGGAATTGGTGATCCTCTGCCCATCTTGACTTCTGAGAGACACTGCCATTCTGAGAGGCTCTTTTTATACCAGTCATGTTGCCAATTGACCTGATAAGATGCAAATTGGTCCTCCAGCTGTTCCTTATATGTACATTTAACTTTTCCGGCCTCTTATTGCTACCTGTCCCAATGTTTTTGGAATGTGTAGCTCCCATGAAATCCAAGATGAGCCAATATTTGGCATGACATTTCAAAATGTCTCACTTTCAACATTTGATATGTTATCTATATTCTATTCTGAATAAAATACTGGAATTTCAACCTTCCACATCATTGCATTCTGTTTTTATTCACATTTTGTACAGTGTCCCAACTTTTTAGGAATCAGGTTTGTATTTTCTGGACTTCCATCCACCTTTCCTTCAACCATAATATTATGTAATAATCTGTTCACACCCACACCCAGTTGATATAAGTAGATGAGTAGGTGATATAATGTTTAGAATTAAGGATCACAGAGTTTCTGTGATTTTGTAAAGTTGCTGTGGGTTATTGAGGTTGTCTGCAATATAGTCCAAACCATCTCTCCAGCCTTGACTTGGTTAATGGTTATGTCTGTGTTAACTGTATTGACCCACTACTGAAACAAAGGAGAGTGTTGTTTTGTTGAGGTAGTTGTGAATTTGGTGTGAGTGTGTGTGAGAGAGAGGGAGAGAGAGAATTGGAAAATCCATTGCTGGGCTGCAATGGAAATTTAGTTCTGACCACATACTGATTTAACAGGTCAGTCCAATTAGCTGTTTAGATGGAAGGGGAAGAATAATTACTGTAGTTTGTGAATAAAGATACCCTAAATATGCTTACAGTTACTTCACCAGGATTCTGCTAAATTTGAATATGTAGACATTATTCCATCATGTAGCCTTAGTTATATACATTATTTAGCTGCTGTCAGTCCTGTGATCTATGTACTGTTTTGTCAGTATTTCACCAACATCTCTTCCCTCAAGGGTTTCAACAAATGCACACACACAATGATGCAGCCAACACCCAGAAAGGCACACTGTAGGTATACATACAGTAGATCTTGTTGAACCATAAAATGACTTTAAGAAAGGCCAGTGATAGTTTCATTAAGTGAAAACTTGTGTATAAAATCCTAAATTTGTCACCTAACACTCCAGTCCTCCACATCTGACAACATGTTGGAACAGTAGTGGGCTTGGCTTTGCCTCTGACTATAGATCGCTCCAAGATGAATGCTAAATGTTTGCAGATGCTGAAAAGATGCTGTAGAACCAAGCAGTTCCAGACACTATGCTTTTACTCTGTCTCTGTGATGATTTGATTTAATATATTGGCAGGACTGCATCAAACGGTGGCAGAGATGCATGTTGTTTTCTGTAAATGCTTCAGGAAGACGAGATGTTAATGAGGATGCAGACTGCTTCGCACATCACAAGTCATCTTTGTTCAGAGCGACAGGCATAATGGAAACACTTTGCACTGCATCACACAGGATCAGGACTTATCTCAGACCTGCTTGTTGGTGATTTGCATTCCTCTGCACAGCCTGTTTCAACAAAGCTAGTGATGGGTCCACTGGCTGTTTTCCCCTGAAACATGCGGTGTGTGGTATCAGCCACAGATAAAGCCTGCCAGTAAAGTATGTATCTAAAATGGTCAATCAAAGCTGTAGTAGGAGCTGAGCTGGTGCTGGAGTCACCAGTCAAATAAAGTTCACTCTTTGGTACATTTGAGTCATGCTTGTCTTGTTTGAGCATTTTGGATGTGCATAAGTAAATAGAGAGCAGTGGTACATAACAGAGGGATATTGGGTGGGAGGAAGAGAAGGAAGGGAGTTTCACAAGCCATGCAAGGTGAGGCTCAAAACTGAAAGTAATGCCAGAAGCGACAAAGGAAGCAGATCCCTCATTTTAATTCGTAGTGGTGCAGTGAGTGTAACAGCTTCCCACTTCCTTTACACTATCAACCTCGTGATTTGTCACGGAACATAAACAGAGTTTTCTCTAGTGGTCAGCTTCTGCTTGCAGCCTGTGCATTTCTCCCAGTGAGGTTTTGCATGGGAACTGTGTTTTTGGGAAGGGTCAGTGTGGACTGTGGAGCAAGTAGTACAGCGTGAACAAGACCGTTACGGGCTCAGTGCTGACTCATGGAAAGTTTGAGGATGCTACGAGGTGTGTGTGTGTGTGTGTGTGTGTGTGTGTGTGTGTGTCTAAATGAACTGAAAGGCAGTATGATTCTTTATGTAAAGCCCATCATCCAGCTGCCTGTCAAGATGTCATAACTCAGTAATTGGGCACTTCTTTCCATGCTCACATGTGAAATAATTGCATTGTTTTAAATGGTTATGTTCTGTACTTAACTGTGTATGGGAGATGAGTCATGAGTACACTTGTTAATAGTGACTCCATTTGGTTGCGGCCTCAGACTGATGACATACCTTCTCTCTACCGCATTAGGTTTGTGATATCAGCTGTGGGTTGATGAGCAGCAATGCACATGTTTAAGTTTAAAGCTTGTCAATGCTGGTGTTGGAGTATTTCAGGCTCATCACATTAGCCACATCTGTGAACTATCAGCACCAAATTATGCTCTCCATCCCCACTTGGTAGTATCACTTCATTGAATCATTTCACTTTGTTTTGCTTAATGATGTTTGTGCTTCATAAATTTCCTTATAGTAGTCTAAAGTCAAACTACACAAAGTGCCATGTCTTCAGCTTGGCAAAATGGGTCTGAACCCTCCAACCTCTGCACAGTGGCCACTCAGTGCCGCATTCTCACACCGTCATGACTTCATGTACGCATTTAGGAAACATTTGTGAGGAAAATTTCCCCATCTGACCAGGAAGGGTGTGAAACTGAATATGGACTCATTTCTCTTAAATTTATGTGAAGCTCAATAAAGACATAAACAAAGCTCGTAGTCCCTTTCAGCATTTTTTTCCCTTGTCATCAGTTTTCCCCTTTTCTGTTTTTCCAAGGCCCAGCCTTCAGCAGTCAGGAGAAGAGGAGGAAATGATTGTGTTTTCCATAGCATACAGAGTGTTGTCATTAGGCCATGTCGGTAATGATTTGAGAGAGGCCTTTTACTGTGAACCGTTCCTCGGCGCCTCAGCCTGGAAGAAGAACCACAGAGCTCAGAGTTGTCTTTTCAGTGTAGCTAGAACATTTACAGATTAATATTTATTTGAAATTGTCCCAAGACACTGTCATAATGCAGTTATAGCCTTGCCATGATTTATCCACTTGCTGAGAGAAGACAATTCAAAAGTGAGTGTACTGTAGTACCGGCATTCTATCGAAAGTACTGCATGTTAATATTAGAATTTTTTTTTATTTTATTTTATTTAAAACAACCCTGCTAAACAGGACAAAATACGAACCATATGTAGGAGCAGCTTTGTAGGAGAACCCCAATACTCTCAACATCAACATTTTGGAGTTTTATACCCAAGTTAACTGTAAAGGATGTAAGTTGAGCATTTAACAAAGATGAATTAGTAGTTTACTGATGTGATTTAACTTGTGGGATTTTTATCTCAGCTGATCAAGTTAACTTAAATGCTTAAGTGCAGCTGCACAGGGGCCACCAGGAAAAGCTGCCAAGTATGTAAATGTGTAAATATGATTGACTAGGGGTGTAACGATCCATCGATCCAAACAGAGGAGCTCAATTAATTTTCAAAATGATACTTCTGTTACATTTGTGTTAATAAAAATATAATTGTGTAAAATAGGCAGATCATATTGATCACAGGCCCCTGAATCGAATTGAAATCACATGGTGGCTTATTAAGTATCGTGTCATGATGAGAGTGATGAGTTACACTCCTCCAGATGACCCAAAATATATTTTTTGGAAAATAAAAACACTCAACCTCTTTAGACTGAGTATGGCCATGATCATTTTTTTTCTAGCTTGGATTGTTTCAGGATGTTGGAGCCAGCTGGATGTCTAAGTTTCCTGACTGTACTTCCTTTAAATAGGCTGTTTTACTGTGTGTCTCTGTTCCTCTTACCAGTGCCAGAATCTCCTCAGTTGTCCTCACGCCTCTCCACCAGTGAACATGACCAGGCACATGTTGACTTGGACCCAGAGTGTTACAGCCAGCTGTGTATGGAGCCACTGAACAGAGAGGGTGAGCGTCCAGTGAGCCTGGTGTCCACCTTGTCCTCCGGCTCATCCCACGATAGTCGTAGCCTTTTTGGAAGCACTGTTGCCCTTCCTTCTTCCACTACCCCACCCATACCAAGCGAGGAGGACATAGACTTGGAGCTGAGCCCAGCTGAAAGCACCAGAAAGCAGACAGAGGAACGGAGTCCCACCCTCCAAGGGTCTGGCAGCTGCTGGTGGGAACCGCTGGAGCCCAGGGTGATCAACAACCAGTGGAACAACAACAGCAGAGCCACTTCCAATAGGAAGGCAAGTGGTGAAATACCTCACATCTCCACCTCACCTGTCATCACAGACACTATGGCACCCAACCCAAAGCTGACCTATGTGGACCGTGTTGTCATGGAGATCATTGAGACAGAGCGTATGTACGTCAAGGACTTGCACAGCATTGTGGAGGTAAGTGGATGCCAGGGTTATGAATTTTCTGTTGCGGTTGGTGTTTTTCAAGTAGTCACTGTGAGCCGGCCATTGATATTATAGAGAGTAAATCATCAGTATTCTGTGTATTTAAAATGCTTGTGTGACCTGGATTAATATTCAGCTTTGACTTAAAGTCTGCAGCACTCTGTGGAGGTGATTTACTGAATTTTCTGCTGGGAGCTGAATCAGGGGAACCGGACATGATGGTAGCTGAGAGCAAATAATGTCTGCTGTGTTCAAGTAGCTGTAATTAGTCTGATAGTTGTCAAACTTTTTTGTATTGTCAGGACCATTCTGATTTGGTCTGCTTTCTAAATAAATTGGTTAGTTGACAGAAATACCTGCCTGACATCTGGCATTTGTGTACTTTGTTTATAGATTTATAGTTCAGAGAGATGATGGCTGTAGAGTTTATAAACCATTCTGTATATTTACAGTGTAGTGAAGGACGATTGGGCTCTATGATTTTTGTCAAAGATAGTTGAAACCTCATCTCAGAGATGTGAAGCATGGAAAATGGGACAAGGATGATTTTACCACTCAGCAGGCCACTCATTTCTTATCATTTCCCCTACCTCTGTAGTCTGGAAACAACTTCCAGACCTCGGTCCTGCATGATCTTGCATAGAAGCAAGAGCACTCAACTGTCAAACAACCTTCACTGTGCTGCTGGTTATGTTTTTAACACATCAGGCATTTCTGAGACTGACTGGAAGTAAACCAGCTAGCATCTATCCTCACCTTGTCTCCAACCGTGCTGGCATCTAGAAGCTGTGGGAAGGAGTGGTGTCTTTTTTTTAATAGCTCAAATAACTACTTGCTCCGGACAAACACTTCCAGGACTGGTTCAGCTGACTGGAGCACAGTAGTCCTGCCTGGTCTGGTACCAGTCACACAGGCCCTGCAGCAGGCTCTGAGCTGGGCTGAGCTCCCAGGCTCTCCCAGCCAACACAAACACTTCAATCTCTGTGCCAGCTGGATACATAACGGATGTAAAGAGAGCAATTGGTTTTTCCATAGGCTACAGTGTGGGAACACAGTGCAGTACAGAATTATCCTCTATCTTTTTATGATTACTGTATAGCTTTAGGCACTCTGATTCCATGCAGCTCATTTTAATTTCACACAGAACCTTGAATCTGACAGAGATGTGTGAAACCTTCCCTTCATGCTTGTTTCCTCAGCAAACTAATTCAGAGCTTTGACTCGATACTCATACTGAACTCACAAGCAGCTGTTGTCCACTCTGCCTTTAGTTCTAGTTTATCCAGACACTCTCAAATCTTTTGTTTTGATAACAGCAGCTGTTTGGCTCAGCTGGTTTTGCATGTCTAAATGCATTCCCAATACCTGGCCTGATCACACTCAGAAGAACTGTTTAAAACAAGAACGTGTACAGTGCTTATGGGATTGAGATATAAGATGGTCACTCTTCTTGTTTCATTCTTGATAAGAATCTTTAATTTGGCCAGTTGATCCCATTAAAGTCCCACAGAAGCAAAACAATGCTCATGCTATGCTAAAGGTCACGTGTGTGCGGTGCAACACTGTTGGCAGGCTTTCTTTTATAGGAGACTTAAGAGATGTCCTGCTGACTATAAGTCCACATTGCAGTCACTGCACTGGAATTCTCCATCCATGATAGGTTGTATTTCATGACTCTGCTCTTAAGTTGGGCAGCCCGGCCGGCCTGTTAAGTGTGTGTCTTTGTATTTGCACTGCATCATCTGGCAGCTGGGTGTGTGTACAAACAGTTTACTGGTAGGCTCTTTATATAGTCACTGCATGTTTGTCTCTCCTCAGCTTTCTCCTCTACTTGTTTGGAGTTGTTTGTTTGCCACATGAGTGTGTCATTGACCAAGAGAGCAGGTAATCATCCAGATGTTGGCACATTTGGCTGTTGTAGCAAATATTTTTATTTGCTGCAGAATATGCCTGAGGTCCAGGGGGAGTTGAGTCCTGGGAATGGAACAGTATGTGCTGCTGTTTCTAGTCAGGGTACATCAGAGCCTCTTCCAGGCAGTCATACTGGACCTAGTCAATGGAATAAATCCTTAAAAGGATCCTTTTAACATCACATCTCAAATATGAGACAAGCTTTGATATCCTGATTCACAAATTGTCTGTTGATGCATTTTAAATGACATGTTGTAGTTCTAAAACTTCACACACAAAAATCAGATGGACAAACCAAATGGCATGTGACAAGGAGAATATATAGAGGGATATAAGCTTTTCAATTAAAACTCAGTCTCTTCCTGTTTCATTCCAGGACTATTTGGCTCACATCATCGATATGAGCAACCTTCCCATACAGCCAGAGCAAGTGTGTGCACTGTTTGGAAACATAGATGACATCTATGAATTCAACAGGTAAGCTGTGCCCTGCCAAATGTAAATCCACTGCTGAGCATAATTTAGGAGTTTGAATCAGTGATATATGTAATAATGCTATTTATGTGTATAGTTCCTTTGGGTGAAGAATATGATCATGCATTTTAATATGTATGAGTTATGTTGCTCTGTTGTTAGATAATAGAGAATGTGCCTGATGCTTTGCTGCTTCGATCTCATTCAGTGACTCAAAGAACATGCAGTATGAAACAATGGTACATTCTACTGTAAATGCACTTTTCCAAATATGTTAAAGCCTAGGAAATGCTGGGGTAGCTTTACATTTAATCATCTTATGTCAGCAAGTGTTCATTGCTGACCATGCTGCCTGCCAAAACACACACGTTCCTGTTTCCTCCTCACAGTGAGGAGCCTCCCTGGTAATGCCAAGGCTGTCGTACAGCTCAGAACCACAAATGGGGATGATTTAAATCTTGGTGCTTTTTAATGAAATTGTAACCATGCTATACAGATTCAGACATGTTTTGGACCCAAAGAGTCACATACAGTATTTGTCCTTTTTTCTTCTCATTGCAATGCTCTGAGAAGCTGCGCTTTGTGTTACCAGTGAAGAACGTGATGCTGTATTTTATCACTGTATTGTCTCAGTGGAGAAATATGTCAGCCCGTGAACAGGTGCTACATGTTTATTTAATATTGCAACAGAGTTGGGTGAATTTGCAGGAGGCTGCTCAGGGGAAACAAGATTGTGTTGCAAGAGTTGTGTTTTTATAGGGGCTCTTTGGGGACCTTTATATGGATAACAAACCTGGTCCTGTCATTTGTTTAGCATTCAAATGTACTGTATATACAGTGTGTACACAGTCATTAACCGTGTTTCAGCTTTATATATTGTTGACAAAGACATCATGTGGCTCAAACAAATATTGACACTGTGTTCCAGTCAAGCTTGATCTGAGTTATGGAATGTACAGAGATGAACTGCATTTGAGTCTCATATTTTTGATACATCAACTGAACAGCTGACATGCAGAGTACTTTAGATGTTTGTTTTGTGGAATTGTACACTTATTTGTCCACAGTATTGTCCTTTTAGTCAATGTCAGACTGCACAAAACACTAAAATACCTTCCAACTTTTATATTTTGGTTTCCCAAGCTGGTTTTTATGGGACTGTGAGCATGGAGAATTCAGTCAAATGTAGGTTCTTACATACGTGCAACAAGGTCCTTGTTTAGCAGTGTATACTGCCCTCTGGTGGCCTCATGTTTTAACAGTTCAAATCTCACTCTAGGTAAAAGCACAAGTTGGTACCATTTAAAAAATGTAATCACATTTATTTATTAATGACAGTCACTAATCATTATTCGTTCCTTCTTTTTGTACTTCCATTTTGGTTTAATTCTGTTTTTGTATTCCTTTCTAGACATACACTCATTAGCCACTTGTATAAAATGGTAAATGGACTGTATTTTATATAGCGCTTTCTCACAGTGTGTTGCACTGGCCAAAGCGCTTTACAGAAGATCATACACCATTCACCCATTCACACACAACATTCACACACCGATGACGACGTGTATAAATTCAATTATGTTTATTACTGAGGTCATAGTTAAATGAATGTTAACACTATGTAATAATTCTTTAGTATATTACTTCTGTGGTGTAGAAGAGTATTATCTATGTAGAGATACCGCTTGCAAACCAATGATGATAAGATGATGTCATGGGGTAGGACTGGATAAGTCTGACTTCTTCCTACTCCGTTCAAGCATGTACTAGGTATAAGCAAATTGATAAGGGATTAGCATTTGTGGATATGTGTGAAATTATGTGTGTTGACATATCGAATATCTTTACATGCTTGAAAGAATTAAATCAAATCGAAAGGTAGTGTTGTACTGGACTACATTATATTCAGAGGTGTTCCTAATATTCTGACCCTCTCACGACTATAGCTAGGGAGGACAAAAATATGAATATAATGCAGTCCACTACAACACCACCTTTAACTATGACTTCAATAATAAACATATCATTGAATTTATACACTTAGGACAATTTTACCAGAAACAAACATTTTGAGCTTCATAAACAGATGCCAAGGCTGGAAGTGTTGCACTCAATTGCATCCAATTGTACAACTGTACCACTGTTGCTTTCATCAACGAAAATTATGACTAAATATCGTCATCAACGAACCTTTATCGCCTGATGAAAACGAGACGAGACGCAACGAAAATGCTGGTCGTCTGACGATGACTATAATTAAATGTATAATGCAATATTGTTGACGAAAAAAAACGAGACTAAATGTAGTTCACAAAATAAAAACTATGTCAAAATATCTCTTTATTTTCGTTGACCAAAACGAAACGAAATGTTATAACGTTATTTCATCTCGTTCAGTCGCGTTATTATTATTATTTTGCAGTATTTCTGTTTCCTGTGTTTCGCTTCAGGGGCCGCATCAAGCCGCACTGCGCAGACGCAGGTGACGTCACTTTCTTAAGCCCCACTCGCGGTATTATTTAGAAGACGTCAACAAACCAAGTTAAGTCTGACACAGAGAAAGGGACCGATGGCCGGCCAGCCGGGGTTCGTTATTGGGAGAAAAAGAAGAAACGACATTTGGAAAAACTTTAATTACATAGAAGTGGAAAAGAAAACAATGTGTTGTGGGAAAAGATGTGGAGAAATGTGGTCACAAAATCACACAAAATGTGTATTGGATGTATTCTTGAGTCTATAAGGTAACAATAATATAATAAGATAACCTTGTTTGAAATGGGTTTGGCTCAAAGAAACTTTTGGTTTCATCTATACTACTAGGTACTTATACTATATTGACTAGGTTAAATAGAATTGCATTGCTAAAGAGACTAAAATACAATTTTCACTGACTAAAACTAGACTAAATGTCATCAGTTTTCGTCGACTAAAACTATACTAGACTAAAAAGAGTATGAATGTGACTAAAACTAAAATGACAGCTTCACCCAAAGACTAGACTAAAATTAAAATTAAAACAGGCTGCCATAAACAACTCTAAACTGTACCTAATAAAGTGGCCGGTGAGTGTAGATATTAGGTTTGTAAGTCCATTAAAACAACTCTCTTGTTGCGTTCTTCATCTCAGTGAACTCCTGCAGGCTTTGGACATGTGTGAGAATGACCCAGTGGCCGTTGCTCGCTGCTTTGTAGATAAGGTGAGTGGCAGCATCTTCCTCATATTGATTTTAGAATGATGTTAGCCTCTTAAAGAAATAAACACTATTGATATGTTCATTTGTCTTGTGTTTCCCCAGAGCGAATACTTTGTAATCTACACCCAGTATTGCACCAACTATCCCAAGTAAGTAGCTAAGAAATATTCTTTATAAGTAACATTTTGCAGTTTTATATGAGTTGCTTGAATGAGCTGGTACATGTCACTTTCTGCTGCCCTCTAGCTCAGTGGCAGCACTAACCGACTGTATGAGGAATGAAACTTTAGCCAAGTTCTTCAGGGATCGTCAAGCTGCTCTTAAGTGCTCCCTTCCTTTAGGCTCCTACCTGCTCAAGCCAGTTCAGAGGATCCTGAAATATCACCTGCTACTTCAGGTACAAAATGTCCTCAGTGCTCATACTGATTCAACTCAATGCTTCTTCTTACTGCTTGTTTCACACTTACCACGATGCCTATGATTGGTGAACAGTTTAGTTTAATTTAGTATTTTACCAAGTTAAAGCAACAGAAAACTAAAGGCTAAAGCCTTGTGAGAAGTTGTAACTGTCCCTCATCTCCTTTAAAGGAAATTGCAAAGCACTTTGACCCAGATGACGAAGGCTGTGAGGTTGTTCAGGATGCCATAGACACAATGACTGGAGTGGCCTGGTACATCAATGATATGAAGAGGAAACACGAACATGCTGTCAGAGTGCAGGTCAGATCCTTTTGAAAAGGCATATTAATGTCCTTCCCATGTGATGAGCCAAAACATTATGACCATTCATAATTTTAAGAACACTGATTATCTGGTAACAACGGCACATTTTTGTGACCCAGACATTTCTTGTAGTCAACATGTTGAATGCATAAAAACAGGCAGGTGTAAAGACATGAGTGACTTTGACAAGCATTCATGTTCTTTCATACTGGCTGAGACCGTGTGCAGTGGTACAGTATGTGCTTTCATGTGTATCTGCAGGAGATACAGTCTCTCCTGATCAACTGGAAGGGACCTGACCTGACCACCTATGGAGAGCTAGTGCTGGAGGGTACCTTTCATGTCCAGAGGGCAACACCCGTACACTCGTTCTCTTTGAGAAGATGCTTCTAATTACCAAGAAACGAGGGGAACACTATGTCTACAAAAATCACATCTCGGTATAGATTTTGACCTATTTTTTGATCAGTCATTTAATAGTTTAAAAAATGTAGGAGAATAAAACGATATTGTAGAAGAGAAAGATGAATGACATTTTCTGCTTAACACAAGATTTATATCAAAAAGTCATATTTAGAATGAATTGTTTTATCTTTGCATTCATTGTGGTTGCAGTGCTCCACCTTAATGCTACTTGACAATGCCAAGGATCCTCTGCTCTTCAGTGTCATCCATTTCAAGCACCCCAAGCAACCCCATACAGTGCAGGTAAATAGGAACACCAGTAACCGTACTGCATTTCAATCAGCTCTAAGATTCAAACACAAAGTTTACTTTGTTCTTTATGTTTCATAATAATAATAATAATAATATTTAAGGAAAATGCTGGAATTTTATTCTTGTTCTTTCTGCGCTACCCTTTTTCTCAAACACTTTAGAGCCAGTGGTTTACTCTGGTCTCTGTTCTCTATGCACGTATCTGGTTTATCTTTATTAATGTGACTGACTCTCTAAATGACAAGTGCTTCATGTTCCAGGCTAAGTCAGTAGAAGAGAAATGTCTCTGGGCCTGTCACATTAAGAGGCTCATTCTTGAGAACCACAACACAATCGTTCCACAGAAGGTAAACACAATTGTCCTCCATACAGCAATTCTTTCTTCTGAATTACCAAAGGATTGTTAAAGAATTGGCTTTTATTGAGACGGCTTTTTTTTTTTTTTTTTTAAGGCAAAAGTAGCCATCCTACACAATTCAAACAGTAAGTGTTATAAATAGCCCTTTTTGTTATGTCAGGACCAGTTTAACATGATGCTTACAAAAGAGAAGGGTGATTCATTTGCAGTGGGAAATATGGAATGTTCTTTAATTGACCAAGATAGAATAGCCCATAATCCATCCATCTATGTGGGGAAAATTGTTCCTGTAATTGCAGCTCACAGTGTGATGATTTGTCTTTCCGCTGCCTACATTCAGGGAAGTACCACTATAGTCCTGAGAGGCTGCAGAAAGCAGAGTCCTGCCAGGTTGACAACTTCCATCTTGGGAGCCGAAGTGGGAGAAGGAGATCAGGTAAAAGACCCCCCACCACATTGTGTACCTGTGAAGACACACACAATCCTTGCTCCTTGTATCCGTTTGTTATAGCCATATGGTGTTACATAAAAATATTTTGTTAATCATTAATTGTCCCTTAAACGTCTAGTGAGTTGTCCCATTTTTAATTTCTCCCTGTTTTAGAGCCTGCAAAACAAATGACACGGAACACAAACGGTTCGTACATGGTGGGGTTTTTGTTTAAATCTCTTTAGGATTGGCAGACAAAAGGCAGATTCATTACCAGTGTTTCAGTCTGAGCCACATTCTCTGTTGTATCCAGTGGCCCACCAAGCTCACCCGAGGTTATTTTGTGTGTCCAATGCACTTCTGCTTTGTTCTCTCAGAAAGACAACTGGAAAACAGATCAAAAGACACACACACACTTACTCCTACTCCACTGGCCTCACCCATAATGAAGTTAATTATATGCCACACTGGTCAAAGGCTTTGTCCTACACAAGCTATTTTCAGTAGTCAAATTCAGCCTTGCCCTCAGATCTGTGTGTCTTCCAGCTCTTATCTATTCCAATTGGCTATTATGCAGGCGAGAACCTCTGTATTCTTGTCCCCAGTTCTCCTTTGCTCCCAGTCCAGATTAATTTTTCAAACCAATGTAATGAAGAAGGCATTTTCATGTCAAGGAATAGGTCATCACATCCTTTGCTAATTGCATCATGTCCAGTTAGTCTCTCAGAGGAAGATGTTTCTAATTGGTATTTATCTAATCACAAGGTCTCCCTTAAGTCTGGGCCAGACTAACTACTGCCTCACTCAGTCCCTGCTTGGGGAGGCACAGACTGTTTTCTAACCATAATTGTACAAGATGCATGTCATATTCAGCTTGTTTTTTATATACTGTTTGACTTGGGCATGCTTTTTTTTCACTGCTATTGACACTCAATTGTTTTTCTCTCCTCCTCTTCATCACTGTACTCCATGCAGCTGTTTTGAAGGTAAGCATCTCAAAGCTAAATGTAGGCTTTTGTTAAACCTTGATATGCTTTTCACTCTGTTCTCTTTCATTCAAAGTGGTTTATTTGAGTCAGTGTGCCATGGTGAGATATGGTTTACCCAGTTTTGGATCAATAGTTGAAATTTTCTTTTGTAATTGAAAAGAAGTCTAACAAAAAATGAGATGGTACAGATCTAATCTTCACTGAACAAAATGTGACAGAAAAAAAATCATCTCTCACCCAGAACTAAAGCAACTTTCTGCTGATTCCATCCCATTTACAGCCTTGCGATCACAAATATGGCTCTATCACTGACCTTAGAGTAACATATCATATGTCTATGACTTCATGGTACAGCATGCAGACAGTGAGGGTGCACTGCTGGGGGACAGGTGCTCCCTTCAGCCAGCCACTAGTGTCAGTACGCTGGCCTCCTCTCTAGGCGAGCCCCAGGCTGAGAGGCCATGTGCGGAGGATCTAATTCCCAGAAGGGAATCTCTGGAGAAGCTAAGTCTTACTGACTGTGATCCGAACCGGGGCCCTTCACCCTGTGATGGGGGGCTGGAGATGGAGAAGGCAGAGAAGGAGGAGGGGCGCAGTTACAAGGAAGATATACTGATGGGAGACGACCAGGTAGCCGACTTTGCCAGCTCTGTGCTGGCAGCCATCTCCTGCTGGCACTATAGAGCCATGGCTTTGCTTTCTACTCACTTCACAACGGTGAGGGTTTCTGCCACCCACAGGTTTCCTGTTTCCCGCTCCATTACATCAGCTCACCAATTCTCTCTGCTGCTCTTTCTCCCACACTGGCTCTTGTATTCTCTCACTTATTTTCCCCTTCATAAAGAGAAACCTATCAGTTGTACTGTGCACACGGAGTGCCTCTGGTCGAATTTAAGCAACTGAAGTGCATGGACGGAACTTCTCCCAATCCACTAACTGTGAAATCTAAAAATGTATGGATGAAACTCAGTGCATGTCTTTGTCCTGCATTGTTTAGCTGTAGAGGTCAAGGTCATGCTCCTGTGCATGCACTGTTCTCCCGTGATTCTATTTTCCTCATGTGTAGTTGCAGTTATAGTGTGCTGTTTCCTAATTGTGTGTTTTTGGACATGATTGATGTTGAAGCCTATGCTGTTGAAACTGTGCCTGCATTGGAACCAGTGACTTAATGTGGCCTGTTAAATGTTACTTGACTTCAAAGGTTAATGTAGCAATCTAATTAAATAATCATTATAATAGAGCTTTTGCTTTCCCCTCTGTGTTTTCATAATTAGGTTAATTGTTATACCTGTACCTTTTCTGAATACTACAAAAAAAATTCAATTAAAAGATTTTCATTGTAACCATTGCAGTTGGTGTTTCAGAGGGGACCTGAATGCACATTAACTGTCTAGGCAATGTTGTCTATGTAACTGTTTTTCTACACTTTACAGTGTGATCTTTGAGGATTTAGAGTAAGAACTCTCACTTTAATGCTGTGCTTTGGTCTTTCAGGATGATCAGAACGGAGATACAGCCGCACTGAAAATTGCACCGAAAGAGGAGGCAGAAACTCTTAAGCAGGAGATAAAATGTGTGAAAGAGACTCTGACCAGACAGGTACATACCAGAGCCTTGTATAATGTTTGTACATACAGTATTGTTCAAAATAATAGCAGTACAATGTGACTAACCAGAATAATCCAGGTTTTTAGTATATTTTTTATTGCTACATGGCAAACAAGTTACCAGTAGGTGCAGTAGATTCTCAGAAAGCAAACAAGACCCAGCATTCATGATATGCACGCTCTTAAGGCTGTGAAATTGGGCAATTAGTTGAAAGGGGTGTGTTCAAAAAAATAGCAGTGTCTGCCGTTGACTGTACAAACACAAAACTATGTTGTACAAACGTTTTTGTTTCTAGGATTTAGCAATCCTGTGAATCACTAAACTAATATTTAGTTGTATGACCACAGTTTTTTATAACTGCTTCACATCTGTGTGGCATGGAGTCAACCAACTTGTGGCACCTTTCAGCTGTTATTCCACTCCATGATTCTTTAACAACATTCCACAATTCATTTACATTTCTTGGTTTTGCTTCAGAAACAGCATTTTTGATATCACCCCACAAGTTCTCGATTGGATTAAGGTCCGGGGATTGGGCTGGCCACTCCATAACATTAATTTTGTTGGTTTGGAACCAAGACTTTGCTCGTTTACTAGTGTGTTTGGGGTCATTGTCTTGTTGAAACAACCATTTCAAGGGCATGTCCTCTTCAGCATAAGGCAACATGACCTCTTCAAGTATTTTGACATATGCAAACTGATCCATGATCCCTGGTATGCGATAAATAGGCCCAACACCATAGTAGGAGAAACATGCCCATATCATGATGCTTGCACCACCATGCTTCACTGTCTTCACTGTGTACTGTGGCTTGAATTCAGAGTTTGGGGGTCGTCTCACAAACTGTCTGTGGCCCTTGGACCCAAAAAGAACAATTTTACTCTCATCAGTCCACAAAATGTTCCTCCATTTCTCTTTAGGCCAGTTGATGTGTTCTTTGGCAAATTGTAACCTCTTCTGCACGTGCCTTTTTTTTAACAGAGGGACTTTGCGGGGGATTCTTGAAAATAGATTAGCTTCACACAGACGTCTTCTAACTGTCACAGTACTTACAGGTAACTCCAGACTGTCTTTGATCATCCTGGAGCTGATCATTGGCTGGGCCTTTGCCATTCTGGTTATTCTTCGATCCATTTTGATGGTTGTCTTCCGTTTTCTTCCACGTCTCTCTGGTTTTGCTCTCCATTTTAAGGCATTGGAGATCATTTTAGCTGAACAGCCTATAATTTTTTGCACCTCTTTATAGGTTTTCCCCTCTCCAATCAACTTTTTAATCAAAGTACGCTGTTCTTCTGAACAATGTCTTGAACGACCCATTTTCCTCAGGCTTTCAAATGCATGTTCAACAAGTGCTGGCTTCATCCTTAAATAGGGGCCACCTGATTCACACCTGTTATTTCACAAAATTGATGACCTCACTGATTGAATGCCACACTGCTATTTTTTTAACACACCCCTTTCAACTAATTGCCCAATTGCACAGCCTTAAGAGCGTGCATATCATGAATGCTGGGTCTTGTTTGCTTTCTGAGAATCTACTGCACCTACTGGTAACTTGTTTGCCATGTAGCAATAAAAAATATACTAAAAACCTGGATTATTCTGGTTAGTCACATTGTACTGCTATTATTGTGAGCAATACTGTAGGTTGTGCTGCTTGTTGTGTGAGTGGTGTTGTTTTACCTGGATTGTTAGTTGCACAAATCATACATGACTGACAATATTTCTGAGCATAGGTAGAGAACCCTTTTGTGAACCAGTGCTGTTCAGCCTCATTTCCATGCATCTCTGGGGCCACGTGATGTGTATTTGCTGTCAAAGAATGCCCATCTGTCCTCATGACCTTATTTAGCCAAGTTTATCTAGCCACTGTCTATTACGAATGCCACTCTTTCATTGTATTTGTTCTTGTTATCTCTTTGTGAATGAGAGCAAGCTGATGCAGTTCTACATTAGAGTTTTAAGTAGGTTTTCTACCTAATAGATGACCTTTACCACAGGTAGATAATTTCTCTGACGTATATTTGAGTCACGCCTGGAGCTCTGTTAGTTCCTGCTGTATATCTGTATTCTTTAAATTCAAATGCCACCCCAATACACATACTGCTGCCCTGTGGTTGGCACTCCCAGTGAGAAAGACAGCATTTGATTTGGAGGCCAGATGCAGTTCTTAGTCGATTATCAAACTCTTTGAAACAGCTCCCGCATCTAGGTGGTTATTCATCCTAACCTTATCTCCACTCCACAGCTCCAGACTGCACTTTTTGCAATTGCAGGCATTCCAAAACAGCAGGCAACACCTGGAAACTGATTTAGATTAATAATGGCAGACCAGGGTAACGTCAGCACTATGAACACTGTTAGAGCTGCAGAGATGTTCACTGCTGGATGGTGCAATAGGGAGGTATTAGCAACCCAGCTGCAAATGTGATCTCCATTATTTTTACTACACTTGGATATCATACATAGAAATGGGTCACTGTGATAAGTAGGCCTCATAAGATAAAATGCAGCATACATTTTGGATGCTTTGGATTTACTCTTCCTAGTTAACTTTGAAATGGACCATTAGATAATGGGGAACTGAGAATGCTTGCCATCATAATGTCTCTTTTATTCATTACATCTCACTTTGCAATTTCTCCTATCATGTTTCAGGTCACTGTGGAAGAGCTGCGCCCTCTAGACTGCATCTTTCAAGCAAAGAAGAGTGATCAGCTGGAGGTGCATTACTCTCAATGCCCCAAGTCTCCTGTCTCCCCTGCGCAACGAGAAACTCAGACCCCAGAACTTCAGGATACCTCCAGAGAAACTGAAGAAGAAGGAGAGAGTGACTCCTCTGGTCTCCAGGTGGAGGAGATGAGTGTATTGACGAATGGGGAAATCTCAGAGGAGGAAGAGTATGTATTGGACAGGAAAAACATCCTACCTTCCTCTGTGTTAGACCAGGCAAATGTGATCGCTGAGCGCTTTGTCAGCGGCCTGTCCAGACGGAGCAGTCTGGTTTTAGAGGACATGGGTTCCCTCCCCTGCCCTTCACCTTCAAAAGATGATAATGCCTTCAGAAGCCTCTCAGCCTGCGTGGACTTGGAGAAACGGAGACAAATGTTGGCCAGTTATTTTCCAGAACCACACTCCGAGGCTAATTGTTCAACATCTGCACTTGAGCCTGCTTTGGATAACCACACTGAAGGGGAACGCAGGTCCACTCTTTCTAAACAAGATCGCCTTCTCATCCACAAGATCAGAAGATACTACGAGCATGCTGAGCACCAAGATGCTAACTTCAACATCAAGCGCAGGGAAAGTCTCTCCTATATTCCAGCAGGTCTAGTCAGGCACCTGAGCCAACAACTAAACAGTATTCCTCAGGAGCAGGCCGCCCCTGTTACCAGGAAAGACCTCTCCCGGAGCCGGCCCACTTCCTGGTCTGTGTTTGACCTTCCTGGCTTGGAAAAGGCTCAAAATACTGAAACTCCCCAGAAAGCGGAACCGCAGAGACCAGTGGAAGCCAAGGTGAGGTCTCAGAGCCTCATGGAGGGATCCTCCAAAGAAGAAGAGTTCAGACCATCATCAGACATGCTCAGGGTTTGGCAAGACATGGAAGTGGAGAAGGAAAGCCTGGAGGTTCAGCAAACTGCAGAGGAAAAAGTGAATGACTCAAGATCTGAAGTGACACAGGATATAATCTTAGACACCTCAGATGTTGATGCCAGTAAAGAACCACCTCAGATTTTAGAAGAGTCTGAAATAAGCACTTCCTCTGAGAGCTCCTCTATCTCATCACCCACCACAACCTCTCCGTTAGTGGAGAAATCTGGCCAGGACTCAAAGCCAAGTAAGAATCATTATTCACATGAGAAGAGCCATGTCACCCACAGCCAGCTACCTAACATCATTACCTTTCAAACAAGCATGGATGAGGACCAGATCCTACAAGACATGGGGAAGATGAAAAGCAAGGTGTTCCAACTGGCTCGTCAGTATAGCCAGCGCATCAAAAATAACAAACCTATAGTTTGGCACAGGAACCGAGAAACAGCAAATCAACAGGGCTTTAAGAACTTGCCAGCTGTCCATGAAGAGAAGATGCACCTGAGGAAAAAGGGTAAATAAGATGCAGATGATTGCCATGTTGTTTTCTGTCACTTGAACTCAAGTAGAGAGACCTGAAAAGCTGTGTGTGTGTGTGTGTGTGTGTGTGTGTGTGTGTGTATAGGTAAACCAAACCTGAGATTGCCCTTGAACACCTGCAGTCAGGCGGGCATCCATGAAGTGTCTTCTCCAAGTCCAGTCCAGTCCCCTGGCTCTGAAGCCAGCTCCTGGAGCACAGTGACCTGCCCTCAAAGCCCACAGTCAGAGACCTTCCACTGGCCTGATGTGCAGGAGTTGTGCTCTAAATACACAGAGCCCTCCCACTCCTCAAAATTAACCTGTAGCTGCACAGCCCCCAGCGGGATGTTGGAATGCTCTACAAACATGTGTAAGGGCTGCTCACACAAGTTCAGCAGCTCCTCTGAACCTCGCAAAGCTCTGTCTGACTGTCCCAGGACTCAGTCTGATACAGTGCACCAGGAAAGGTGTCAGACAGTAGAGGACTGGCCCCAACCACAGTCACTGCCCCAGCTTCAGCCCCTGCTGTGCAGCTGGAGTTCCTTGGACCACATGCTGGGGTCTTTCCCTCACCATGAAGTACAGAACCTTAAAGAACCAGTGAGGACCTGCTGCACGGCTGGCAAACTTCGAGACTGGGACAGCCTCCTCCAGGAGGGCCCAGACTGTGCAGCAAAGTGCACCATGCTGAGTTCAGTGAAGATGTCAGAAAGTAATCTAGTGAAAAGTTTACGGGAGAGGTTTCAGAGCTTAAGCACAAACTCATGAACATGTGAACTGTGTACATTTTTATGATTGGGAAGTCACTTCTGTCTGTTGCTTCTCAGCATCCCTTTTTACACTTTCTCCCCCCAAAGAATACATTATTATCTGCATAGTGTTTTCAGTATAAGGGACACTGGGCGGTGATGCTGGGACCAGTGATACACAAAAGGGGATACAAGTGGGCAACGGGGGGGCATTTTAAAAACTATTACAGTATTTGTACATTGGGTATTTGTCTGCACTGTACAATATAAAGTTTAAACTGACAATTAGCCCCCCTCATTGTTATATGCATCTATTTGGGTCCCACCTACTGTTATTGATTCCTGCTATAATCACTATAAACCTTTAACATTTCACCATGTAAACAGTCAGCTGGGGTTTCATGGAAAGCAAAAGAGACACTAACACACATGAATACTTTCGACTCACTGACAAGTGAGCTCTGCTGTTAGGACAGTCTCCCACTACACAGTTCGCTTTTAATATTTGTTGATATCTAATGCATGTGGTTACAGCAGTGTTTACTTTCACATATCACTGGAGCTTTAATTTTCTCAACATGTATATTTTCTTGACTGTTATTTATGAAACTGGACATTTGGGAGAGATTGGCCTCCTGTACAGTAAATACTTACCAGCAGCAACACTTTTTACATTTTAGTACCAGAGAATATATTGTTCCATACTTGAAGTTTCCCCATTATTTTCAATAAAAACAGAAACGACTGACCACAGTTATCATCTTTACCCTGTCATATCCGTTTGATCTACAGCTTCTTCCTCAACTTGCTACATTCACATTTCTATAAAACTGAATCTACTGAATTTACTTGTTCAAAATGGCACAATGCTTTTGTTAGAACAAACAAACGATTATGCATCGACTTGCATTGGACCCTAAACAAGGAGGAAGTACAGTTAGTGTCAACAGCACCCCGGTTCGTGGGACTTAAACCGTGAACTTTAAACGGGTTGCAGCTAATGGCAGGTTTATCATTTGGGCGCGTGTGTCTTTATTAATGTGTGGTTGCGATCTTTCATTTAAAAGAACTGCACACTGCCTGCCCTCTAACCGGAGCTGCGTCAAGTAACCAATAAAAAGAGCGACACCGGAAGTCAATTGGGACGTCCTTCAACATAAAAGCTTGACACAGCTTAGTGCTTTATATGAACCGTGTTCATCAAAGAGGGGGTTAAAATTTGAACCATTGACCAGAACTTGCAGCAGCTGTCTGTTTTTTGACTTGGTAGTAATCCGCACTACCCACCAGAGGAGGAGTGTGGTTCAAGACGCAGTTGGAGTCCGCGCATTTAAACCAGATTCCCGCAACATCATATTTTCTCTGGCACAAAATCGGTTCGCCCTCGTTTTTCCGGATTGGGGCAAAAGTAGCGTAATCGTCCAAATTTTTTTCTTAAGAATGGGCTGCGCAATATCTGGCCTGGCAGCAAAAACGGAGTTTGAGATGAATACAGAAGATTCCCCTCCTGCGCATCTCAGTGAGAATCAGATTCAAATGATTAAGGAGTCATGGAAAGTTATTCAGGACGATATAGCCAAAGTTGGGATTATTATGTTTGTCAGGTAAGATGATCGACTCTTATAGTCTGCTTTTTCGGTGTTGGTTGCATGTTAAATAAATCAAAAGTGAAGAATATGTGTGTAACTAGCAGCCTTTAGTAAGTATTGTGTATCTTTAATGGAATGAAATGTAGCCTGGATATTGAAAAATTTTGCATCCAAAACAAACCCAGGACACAAAAATGTCAAATGGCGCCTACTCTTGATTATAACACACAGCAAAAGGAGAAAAATGTTGATTTTTTTTTTTCCCAGTTTAACCTACTGAGTGAAAACTCTGCACTGTGTTCTGACCTGCTGGCACAAAAGAGAAAAAATCCAGGAACTGAACATCCAGCATCTCTCCACCTCCACCACATCTGCTCTGCCTTCTGACCGTCAGCTTTTCACTGAAACCTTGGAGCGTAATAAAATACCCCCTCCCCTTATCACGTCTTAACAAAATTACATATTACACAGCTCCAGCTCTGTACAATTAAAGCCATTAGCCATGAGGAAAATGCATTTTGGTAATTAGGGCGATGACCAATGTCCGACCCTTTGGATGGGGACATAAAACTAATGAAAGGATGTGGTGATAAAGAGTGGCGGATGTTCAGGCTGCTGCTGGAGGATTTAGATTAAATAGACTACTGGGTACATTGCCACAAAGCCCAATTAATGCCATTTGTGCCCAGGGTCACACCAACGATTGATCTTAGTGTGTATTGCTGGAAATATGGGTCAGGGGCACCCAGGGGCCCCCAGGCTGTCAGGGTTTGTAGCCCATGACTGAATAGTAATTGAGGTTCAACGGACCAAAATAAGAACCTGTCTATGTTGCCTGTGTGTTGACAGCAGAGGAGATGTGGATTAAAAAAGACGAGCCAATTTCCCTTTTCCTCTCATGAATGAAGCTGGTGGGCTGGGGATATGAACAGTGACAAAGCAAATTTCACAGTAATTTCTCCCCAGATGAAGGATGATATTGCTTCTCTTCAAAAGATAAGGCACTGCTGCGGCATCACATGTTTAGCTTATGCCATTCAATCAATCATAAATACTTGATTCATTTGTGAGGCTACAGTCAATGA